CATACTAAAACAATATATCACATAATTCTTATAAACTATGCTTCCTCTTAATATCAATGCACCAAGAAGTTTCAAATTATATTTACCCAACGATTTATATTACTAATAAGTAGTGTAACTTCTACCCATAATTATTTTTCACATTTTAAGTTTTCAGATCTAACAATCCAAAACATACATACAAATATCGGGAGTATTTGCGCAGTTATGTACATGGAGTTATTTAGGAATTTGAAGCTTAATTTGTTTGTGTATTCCAAGTCTGATGGTCAAGGGATTTCACTAACACTTTACTGGAATAAGACTGTACCTACCGTCAATATTTGTCTAAACCTTATCCAAGAATGTAATAGGATTACTTTCAGAATCCCACTGAATCATATACTGAATATGTTGGATATATCTCAAACCTATTTGGCATTATGATATAGTTTTCTTAAACCTGTTAAAGTTTTCTTTCCATCAAATAAGGTAAGACTTTCAAACAGTAAAACTTCATCATTTTTACGAACGGTTTTATCCGGTTATGATGTCTTCAAGCGATATGTGTACGCGAAAACGCAATTCCTTACAAAATAAAATAACGTGTTTCAAAGATAGCTTTCCTCAAGATCTAACCTCAGGTAGTTCTTCATTCCAAACCAAACTTCACGGACAGCTTTGAGATAGATATTTGAGATTTTAGAGTGAAATATCAACCAACGGAGTGAGACAGATATCACTGAAGATACTCAGAGACACTATGAGAGTTGCTAAGATGGAAAAACACGACTCTTTATTATTCACGCAAGTATTAAAATGCTACAAAATATCTAGTTCATCGCTTGTAGATTTTTTTTCAAATAATCATTTGGTAATCCAAACTTTTATTTACCAACAAGTTGAAGCTAAGTATATATTTCAGCTGTTTCATGAGGGAATAATTATCATTATCGAACTTTCAGAATTAGGAATGTTATTAACAGTTTAACGAAGTTAAAACAGTGTTTTCATTATTCCTCTTGTTCAACAAGAATAAAATCAACAAAAGTCGCAGTTCTGCTTATCTCTGATGTCAGTACACTTTATATCCAACATTTTTCGGTTACGAAGCTACTTCCATGGAATCCGTAAAATGCTTCATATGTCGTTTACCAAAATTTAAACTTAAATGTAACCAGTTATTTAACTAAAATTTGCTAACTTCTCACTTTCTTCGATGTCGGTAGCCATAAGTTCAAGCAAATATGTTTTTCAGGAATTTAATGCTGCGTCAATTCATTTTCATGGTTACAGGTTACTGTGAAGAAAATGAGCATCAGACAAAAATGAGAGACTGACAAATGTGTAAAAATGTCTGTTTGGCAATCGACAGTTGGGTGCGGTGTTAGCAGTCTAGAGGTTAAACGTGCTCGGTTTTATTCGTGCGTGCGGCATCGTGGATGCGCAGTTGAGGTGTTTCATACTAGGACAAATCGGCCGTCCAGTGCTTTCAGGTATTCAGTGGTGGTCATCCAATAGTCAGTTCATGATTTCAATGAAATAATACAGTATCTTATCATTGATCGTTTTGAAGACTACGATGAAATTCAAAGTGGATTGATTTATCAACTAGCTGTTGAAATGAAATAGCATAAAAAGTTATGAATGGTACACGGGAAAAGAAAACATAGTTTGATATCGAAAAAATTAAAAATATGCTTCTCTTTCTCGTTCAGTGAATCTTCAGATAAAAATAAATTACTTCGTAGTGAAATATATTAAGATTATTTATTTATTTCAGCTACAACGTACGACCAGGCACATATATACATCAGTTCAAGTTGTCATACCTCATAGCTACAACATGATGAACACCGAATTCATAGAACAAGTTAATTCAGTGGTGGTAATGTATTAAAGAAAGATTGCACATTAGGACATAGTACAGGAAGAAAGAAATAGTTCGTAGAAAGAAAGATATGAAGTGATTTTACTCACACGGTTTGAGGGAAGACAGAGAGTGAATACACCTACGCCATTGCAATCGATTCTGAGCCATATCACACAGAGTCTCCAACCATTGGTTACGATAGTGACGCGGACCCCAAACAAGTCGTCTGCATCTATCAACATGGATCAGACTAGGAGTTAGTGACTTCAAGGACTGATGCCACATTTTGGTTTGGCCGCCCTAACTTTCTCCCAACCATCTCCAACATTAGTAAGCATTGCGCGACGTGGTAAACGGCGTTCAGGTATGCGTAATACGTAACCCAATCATCTCAGTCAATGAAGATTCACAATCTCACTAACTGATTTACCATCATTCCCTAATATTCTGTGTCTAACGTCACTACTACTTACCTAGTGATTCCAGCAGATGCGAGCAATATTTCTAAGGCATCTGTGGTCAAATACTAGTAGTTTACGAGTAACTTCTAATGTTAATGGCCACGTTTCGCAGGATAGAACGAACTACAAGTCCATTACTTAATTGATAGACGGATATCTCGCTTTCGTCATAGGTGACGTATGTTGGCAAAAGCCAAACGAGATTATCGAATCCGTGCAGAGATGTCGTCAGACTTCCAAGATAAGTGGAGTTGCCAACGCGTTCGACTATTTTGCTCTCTATCCTTAGTTCAGGTGTTGAAGCAGACCAGTCCGGGAGCAAAACTTGGATTTAGAGAGGGAGAAACGCATTCCAAACATTCTGGCATTGTTGTTCAGTACTATCAGAAGACTCTGCATTTTATCAGCATCTTCACCAATCAGGACTATGTCATCTGAGTATTCTTAGTTGATAAGTGGACCTCCTGGTAGGAGATCGATGCCCGAAAATTCAGTCGACGAGAACGTTGTTTCCATCAGTATGTCTGTGATGAATTTACACAAAAATGGAGAAAGTGGACAGCCTTGAGGGACACCACTTGAGGTTGCAAAAACAGATGACAGTTCGCCATGAGCTCTGACTCGACTGGTAGTGTTCCGAGTAGAGAGCCTTCACAAGGTTTATGTACTTCTGAGGTACACCTTTCAATGACAGAAACGGCAACAGAACCCCTCGGTATACAGAGTCAAATGCTGCTTTTAAGTCAAGAAAGACCACCATTGTCGGACCCCGATAGACATGTCTGTGTTCTAGAATCAGACGAATGGTGAATATGTGATCGATGCAGCCACGACCAGGTCTGAAGCCCGTCTCATTTTCTCTTGTTTGCAGTTCACAAGCCTTTGTTAGGCGCCCAATAGCTACTGAGGCTAGTATCTTAGATGTTATGTTTGTCAAACTAATTCCTCTATGGTTATCACAGGATGATTTTGACCCCCTTCTTATATATTTGGACAATCAGTGATTGTGACCAGTCAGATGGGATTACGTCCAACTCGCAGATTTTAGCTAAAATATCAGTCAACCTAATCGCTAAAATTGGACCGCCATCCTTAAAGATATCTGGAGCCAATCCATCTGGACCAGCTACTCTTCCTCACTCTTGATTAACTATAGCCTTTTCAACCTCAGCTAGAGTCAGGAGACCTACTTCAACGTTCCATTCACAAAACTGTGTGATGAATATAATTTAATTATTATTTAAGTTTATCAATTCAGTATTGGAAACAGTTATAATCATAAGTCTTATGCTAAGTAAGAAATTGTACTTTGGCGTCCACTTATGAAGCTGAAATAGCCAATTCATTCTGTGTAATGATGTTTCTTACGAAAATTCCCCCAAAATTATTGATCACACCTAGTGTAAATATTTGCTAAAACAACAATATAGAGTATATTAGTACATATCATAAGCTTTTTGAACATATGTCAATTATTAATAAAGACCACCAACGGTGATGAAACAGGGTAATCAATAGGACATCAGACTGAACTATGATTATCTCTAACCCTTATTTAAATATCATTCATGCTTTGCTAACTATGTCATCATCATTTGACCTTAAAACCTGGTCGTTTTATAGTTACTAAACAATGATGCGTTTTGTTCAGTGATTAAATTAGGATATACACAAATATACGTGAGTCTTCTTTCATTTATACAATGATTACTTACTACTTATGATTCATAACATTTCACCTTCATACATGTTTGCTTTTAGTTTATAAACTGACTACATAATCTAAAGACTTTGAAACCTTGATTCTATCAATCGACTATTAATGTGGCAGCTATTCAAAATGATATAACATCACGTTGGATTGTGTTTTATGTTACCAGGACGAATATTGTAAGTACTGGTTCCTTCAAGATTGCAAGTCAGCTATGATAACGAGGGCCAACTAACATGAAACCGAAACCATATTATTCTACAGATCCTCGCTAACCACTTAATATCAGAATAGTAGACAAATTTGATATAACTGCCTTATTATTAAACTCATTTGGTATTTTTTGTTTGAAATTTGCCCCATTGCACAAGCAAGTGGTCATCAGCACTTAGTAGCTAAGTGGGCGTTTGAGGCGGACGGTACTGAGTTCAAGTCTCTGAGTGAGTATCAACCCTGTGATGCAGGTACATCCAGCTGACAAGTCCCACATAGGAACAAACGTACTTTCTTGATTCCACTGCTAACCACCATCCGTTTTTACTTATAATCCCTTATTAATAGATTATTATCAGAATGGGAGTGTGTGAAGATTGTAGTTAATCATTAACACCATTGGATGCCGGTTCAGTGGCCTAGAGGTTAAGAGTTCGCTCACGAGACTGAAGGCCCTGGGTTTGGGTCGTACTAGGACGAAGCGGTGGTCCAATGCTTCCAGGTTTTCATTGGTGGTCCAACTTATATCGACTCATAAATTCAAGTATTAAAACGACTAATAGATGCTTACTCTTAATGTCCTGGACTTAAAAATATCAGTGATATATACCTACGTTTATTAGGAAAGTTTATGCCGTTATACTTGTTTATTAAGTAAAGAAACCCAAACCTATAACAATAAACGCACTTATATGATTCGTTTCTATAAGATTTTATATTATACTATACTTTTTCACACTGAATAGAACAAAACTGATGAAAAATGTGTATAAGTATATCTGCATTCCGAAAATACTATCGACCGGAGCCAAAAAAGCCATACTTACATTCAATGAAATTGAAATCTCCCTTTGGAAGACCCACACGTTCTTCGTAAGTATTACAATTAGAATAACCTCATGTTTAAATCATAAGTAAATCTCGCAGTATAACAAAACTGTAATTCTAAATGATTTTCAAAAATCCATATTTCGCGTATGTTATATTTTGTACAGAAAGTATATCCACAAACATAGTCTGAAAGAGAATAAAGTTACATTAGAGCTATCGATTCATATTTAGTGGTCTACATCATGAACTAACTGTAGCTAGATCAACATTAAAAACCAGAAATAACTGGACAATTGTTTTGATGATCACCTGATTCCTCAGGAGTGGTATCCAGTGATTTATTTATCTAACCTCAGTCAATCAAAAATTAAAATTTAGTTTTATTTACTACTTGGTTAATAAAATTTCGTCTTCTAATGGTCATTGTCTTGACAGGCGAAAGTTGTCAATGATATCTTAGTCGCTGTATTAACCCGAATGGAATATGACTAAATAAACATTATGTAATAGGCTAAAGCATTTTAGATTATTCAGTAACATCATTGAATCTAGACTCAATCTATCATCATATTCAAATTAATTTGATTATGATTAGATTAATGAATAAAACCTGAAATAACAAAGATGCGTTTTGGAGATGTTTAAGACCCAACTATTTTGTATTTGTTAAACCTAAAAGAATCTATATTAGTGTAACACTCATATTGCTAGTCACTAGATAGGCTAATCGACCAAATATAAATGCCTATAACAGTTCTATAATATCATAAAATCATCTTCAGATTACTTAGACAAAAGATCTACTACAAGAGTAATATTACTAATTCTATACATTAAGAGAAATAACTGAAATTATATTGTGAATATCTTATTTGTTTATTAAATGCTGATATAATTATGAACCGTTTATTATTTCGAAACCCTTATTCTCTGAATAATACAACTTCCTTTTGTAATCAGTTTTGATTTTGTTTCCCCGTAATAGGTTTACTTGTAGTGGATATTATCAACAAAACGTATAACAATTTACAGTTCACCTTTGATAATCAGTTTAGGGTTTCATATGATCGGTAACTAAAACTTTCCGCGCAAATTTTTTTCATAAGGAAGAAATTTGATCGAGTTATATAGGCTGAGACTTATGTAAATTCTGGTCTAATATTACTTCAACAGAGCTGTTAGTATGGACACTTACATTTGTTCTACTAAACAGTTATATGAATCTTAAAATGAGACTGGTATCGTGTTATTTAAATTCGGAGGATTATGTAACTAACTCCATGTCATACTGATGTGTACTAAAGTAATGAACACGTATCCCTTCATAATGATTTATCCAGCTCTGTTAATGTTTTAATCATAACTATTTAATGAAATCAATTCACTTACCAAGAATTTTATGGCTTTTGTTTATCTTTTCAGATATCTTAGAAGTCAGTTAAGTTATGGACGTATGGACAGAGAAAGCAGCAGAGATTTAAGAAGAGATAACAGTGATATATTTGACTGTCATACGCTTATTGAACCGATTCATAAGTTATTAACTAACAGGTAATATTTTTTGTTTGAGCAATTGTGTTCGTAAAATGTTATGTCCAGCAAAGATGTTTGACCATTTATGACTTGTAGTATAAAATGCATATTTGATATAAGTAAAAGCAATTGATTATTAGAAGCTTACTACTACAAAATCCAAATGTTTAAAAATCGTTCAAATTACCCAATCTATGTTGTTCCAGTCTAAATATGTTTATTAAGAAAATATGAAAAATCATTTAATGATGTCATCATTTCTCTACATGATGAATTTCTATAAACTGAGACATAGATAACATGTATATCATCCTGTGTAACATAGGTCTTGTTCATTTTCTCCCATTTTCTATCGTTAGTCTATCAGTACCCTTCTAAGACAATTAATAATCATTCTTTTCCTTCTTCAGTATACACTCTTTATTTTTATCCATAAATTTGATTTTCCAGTTTAGTAAAACAATTGTCAGTCAAACCAACAGATTTATACAGTTATCTAATTGGTTCTCAAATGGCAGTGTATGTGTGTTTATATTAACGACAGTTCTTATTCAGAATAAACATTGAATAGTAAAGTCAAACAAGAAATTTCAAAATCTTTAGATTTTGGAAAGAAAACCAAGCCGAACTACACCAGTGTTGGTAAGTTTGACAAAAAATAGACGGTTAATTATCCTATTTTTTATGAATTTACTAAATTTTACATAAATTAGTGAGACAGAGAAGACAAAATATTGAAGGAACTTAGTGATCAGTATTAACTAGATGAAACTGTTTGAGCTTATCAATTGACTGTTCTAATTTACACAATGGGGATTTTTAATAGGTAAGAAATGTTTTGAAACTCAAACTCTGGCACAAAAATAGAGAAGCATGCGAATTATTGCAATCACTTCCGATAGAAAGTATTAAACATTGTATATCATGTGATGAAATTAAGCCGTGTAATATATGTGAAGGTGAAGTGAATGATATGTCCTTATATCATTTTTTCTCAGATATTCACTTACTTCCTACTCATTACTCCGTGTAGTAGTGAACTCAGATTGATACTAGTACAGAATTTGTAAGTCCAATATAAAAGTCTGTCGTATAGAAAAAGAGATATGAACAATTCGACTATCTTAGTAATTTGCCCATAACTAAAGGAAATAAAGTGCTTTATTTGCTTTTAAGCACAGATGGTGGGTGACTTATAATTCTCGTAACTTATATCGAGACAATACGCATAGTATGCACATATGCCAATAAGAACCTGATCAATTGCAGTCCTACACATCAATGGGAAGATTTAAATAAACAATATAAAATATAGAATATTTCAGTATTGGCATTCCAATAAGTTTCAAAATTTCGTGTTCAACTGTACTTATTACAGACATAAAGACGAAATAAGCGTAAGATAACTACCCGTTTATATCTGAGTAATTTAAGAACTAATTGCAAATTTGGATAACAAAGTTCTGGGAGGTCAGTATATGAACAAGACATTGATCTTAGCCCAAAACTGTGTTAATAATGTGCCCATTTTATGCCAAAAGAACTGTAAATAATATTTCGTTATCAAAAACTGACGTTACATTTTGCCTAAATCATCCGATAACAATAAAAAATCTCATTCTCCTTATAATGTCACTTATTGTTCACCATCTTAGAAATAAGCATGTTGTCCGATTCTGATCAACAACTGTGATGATATTATTGACAATGAAATCACATTTACATGTACAGACATAATATAAATCTATCGAATCCTGTTTTCTCTAGTTTAAATACACTCCAACTTATCACTGATCATGTTTTAACATTGTTATCCTATTAATTCCAAATCATTATGCATTAATTTTAATTAAGGTTAATACAATCAAACTCTATCACATTGTAAAACTAGTCCAAAATGTAAATCTTGGTTAATTATCCATAAGTAAATACAATAAATCGCTTGAACTTAATTCAAGTTGTATGATATCAAAAAATTAGTAATACTCCTTTAATAAAGATATCTCATCCTCCTACTCAAAGTATACTGTCCAACGGTGATTTCAAGTCATAATCCATAATGATTTAAGATATCAACTATCTTAAATGAATTTTTCGTCTAATAACATAAAGTAGCTGATTTAGAAAGTGGTGAAAATACATATTATAATTTCCCTTAATTCTCTATTCGTTTGACGAGTCGATTAACAAGAATGTTTTTATGATTTCATATAAACAACTCACACATATAATGGAGGATATTTTTGTTCAACAAATGAATTGTTAATTAGATCTCGTTGGAGTATTATAATTCAGGCGAGACTATAATTTATGGAAGAACCAATCAAATTTACAATAACAGGTCTTGAATTTTGGTACGAAATTAATCCATTCATTTGACTAAATAGAGTTTTGCCATTATAGCTGATATCAGTTTGTTATGAAAACCCTACATCTGATTCCCAACCGTAACTATCAACTGTAAATATTAACCCTGATTCCTCACACTGCTTTATAACCCTCATTTAGCCGTAGTATATAGGTGGGCATTCTCTAGATCACTTTAGCGTCACTCAAAGATCGTCCATAAATTATAGTCTCACCATAATTCATAATTCCTAGCACATGATACTTTTTCAAACATGAGATAAAACCTAATGAATTAAACGTTGTGCTTAAGTCATCTTCTCTAAGGGCAATTTTTTAAAATGTAATACAGATAGAAATTATTTTGTTTTCATATTTAACTGTGACTAGGTTGTTTCAAACACTCAACACTCAACATTCTTTTTATTATCATTTAACATAAGGTTTGATTCATGTGTAACATACTTCAATTTGATCAGCCGGATGTATCATTTTCCCTCACAAATCCATATCCATTTTCTGATTTGAATTAAGTTAGGGAACAACAAATAACCAATATCAAGCAATATTAATATTGATTAACGTGTACCTGTCAGTGAAACTAAGCATCCTATTCTAAACTGAAAAATTATCTTATTATGCAGTCTATTATTAAAACACATTATTTAACTAATCGGGATAAAATATTGACATGTTCTTTGTAATAACTTCTTGAAATAATGCACTAGACGGCCGTTTCGTCACAGTATGGGACTCCTCAGCAGTGCGCATCCACGACCTCGTCCTCCGCGAGATTCGAATTCAGGACCTATCAGTTTCGCGTACTAGCGCTTAACCATCAGACCACTGAGCCAGCATCCAACGGTGTTATTGTCTAACTTCAACCAATCCACGAATGTTTATAATTTTAAAATAAATATTCAACTTTATTATTATGTATACAATATCAATTCACTTGCATAATATTTCGGATTTTTTTTTCTCTTAGGGTTACATCCAACAAATTGTAACAAAAACAAAGTTAAACGGAAAGTACAAACAATAAAAACCCCAAAATCATGTTCAAACATTAGTATTAATACTAATGATTGTTTAATAATAAAATCAAAGAATGCTTTAAATCAGTCTTGTTCAATTTCTACAAAATTAAATTTAACTGAAATAAATGAGTCAAATTCTGATTTTGTAAATTTAGAAAATAATATATCTGTATGCTTAAAAATTCAAGGTTTGTCAATATTTGGTTAAGACTTTTCTAATGCTTAGATTTTCTCTGTTAGTTAGTAATATAATTGATTTGATAGTCAATATTCATAAGTTAGGTTATAGAGAACTTTGTTGTTTCATAGATTATGATGTCTGCTTTAGTTCAAATGCGATTATCGATACATCTTTAACAGTAAGTAAATCAAAAATATGCTTTATGAATAGTTATAGAGACAATTTCTGCTTGACTGGATGAGTATGGACTAGATAACTCACCATTACTTGTTAATGTTTTGTTCGGTTGATATCTGAGTCATATTTATCTCATACTTGTGTATGTTATGTTTATAGTTTCATAAGGTTACAATTGGTTGATTTGTGGACTTTACAAGCGAACTCAACCGGCGTCATTCCTTGGTTCACTTTGATCTACTAATTTTGATAGTATATATAATGTACCGTACAACTTAAACACAATGTTTCAATGTTTTCCACATTCTTTTAAATTGGGTTTACTTAAAAGAAATGAATATTTTTAAGCCTATGGAGTAGAAGTGCAAATATTTCCGACACATTGACTATGTTTCCTTGGATAGTTCCTTGGAACCTCTCTTACCAAATGTTTTTATGTTACTTGTTGACAGGATGGCGAATGATCTCACCAGGGAAGTTTCTTTGTATAAGAAGGTGAACATGTATGATAACCTCTTAGATATAATTCAGTTTTTATAATAGAACTTACGATCTACAGAACAACATCATGCTAATTCGTAGCGAAGAAAACAATTAGCAGCAGACCTTTTTAACATTCTCCTGAGTCGAAGAGACAATGACACCAGTTTATAGGAAAATCTCTTAAACAAACCAATAATTGGGCTTTTAATGATTCCATCTGTTACAATACAACCGTAGGTAATGGAGCCATTCAATAGACGTTAGTGAAACATGATCGTAAATTGATAAAGAATTAGTTAGACTCGGACACCTGATCATGTTCCTCAATAACAAAATATATCAGTTAAACAAATTGTAGGAATGACCTTACAACAACCTTTAAAACTTTACATGGAAATTATCAGGAGTGAACTTTTAGATTTGTAAAGGGTTTGGGCACTAAAATATGTAAACCTCCCTTATATGTACAGAAACAATTTTCTTTTCACATTAAATCTGCCATGGTAATGTTTGATTTACTTTAACCCCTGGGGTGGTGTGACAGCTTCTTATTCCTTATATATTATGCCATTTTTCTTAGATTAACACGTGGAAGTTATTTGACCTTTCATTTAACTGACCTTTCATGATGCTTATAAAGAGATGGATTGACAAGAGTTTATATTATTATACTGCTCGAAGTATAATGCAAAAACTTATCGAATATTTCAGCTCAGCTTCGTTTTCTCACTTCATTCTTGAAATTTGTGTTCGGTAATGATAGTTTTAAATATTAGATGATTCATCACTAGTTTACTATATTATTCTTTGCTCTTGTGACCTTCTAAACATTTAAAACATGATGTGTTTCTACAGATCGACTCTAATAGGTTTTTAAAAGGTCAGTCTTTTGACTGATATGAAAACTTGATGAAAATCACCATTCACAATCCTTAAAATCCTAAAGCTAATCATACGTCATAGTTTCTAAAAGACAACGTAGATGACATGATGGATTCCTTTAGTTTATTCCACCGGTTGTATGTATCACCTTATACTTTATGAATTGTCAGAAAGAAAATTATGGAACGCATTTCGGATCCACAACTTAAATTCAAAATATCAGATTAAAATTGTTAATAGTCCTACCTCAAAATCATTAGTATCCTTTTTATTGAATAAAAAGCAGTTACATTAAGAGAAACAAACACAACTTATATGTGCACAATGTAGTTATAAATTTATAACTATAATTGCTGAATATTTAATATTATTAACGAATTCAGTCAATGTTATTGTATTATTTTCACGGAAATGTGGCAGTTCACCTAATTTCTGATATAAACAGCAACTCAGTTGATTGCCAGTTCACCATTACGATGAATTCACTATAAAACGAAGTACACATTCAATCATTTAATGAATAATGATATGATCAAATGCTGAGTGTCTTTATTGAATGTTTTTTTTGTTGAAAATATATTGTGCTTCAAAACCTATCAGAATTGGTCATGTTTACCATGATATGCTAATACAATAATGAAAAGATGAAATTAATTGTGCTGAGTAAATTAACTTGTTATGTTTCTACTTTTAGGCAGTCCGAGGAAAACTACCTCACTGTACACAAAACAAAAAAGTAGTTTAAGTGAAAATGACATTGTGAAGGTTGTTTCACCAAGATTATCAAACCAATATAAACATCCAAGTAGGTTTTTGAATGATAAATGAATATCTATATTTCTTATTTGAAACAATTTTTTTTTTAATTTAGAAGAATGAAAAGTTGGATTTAAAATAATGTAACGTATTTAAGCTTACATAGTACATTCATTTAAATTGTTCTTTATCCTTTCAATAACTGCATCGTAATCGTTTTGATTCGTTAGAAAAGCCTGTAGTGTGGGTTATTATGTCAAGCCTATATACCTTATTCTAGCTTTCGGATAGCCCAATCTATTCATTCTACTTGAGTCATATTTTGACCATGTTAATTATTCACTTACTAATCTTCACTGTATTTATATGAGCATATATGTGTGTACACTTCTTATCCTATTCATCACATGTCTGTAGCCTATTTTTGTGTGACTATAAATATCGAATAACGCTTGACTAAAGGGAGTAGGCTTATCCGCCATCTCCACCGCGTGTCGTTTTGCTTCCTTCTATTCCATTCGATTCATATACAAAATATATGTATTCAATAGTCCATTCTCGTTATTTGACTTATTTGATTCCGTTATTGACTAAAGCGATTTAAGTCTATGATTATATACGAGGATAGGCGATATATATACTTCAATAACAATCATTCATACGATGTAATTGGAGTCAGATCTCGGGCCACTAAAGTGGAGAGCCCGTCAACAAATACCGTCCGATCTAAATGACGACAAAATAAAGGGCTCCACTAAAAGCCATCGTGAGTTTAGTATTTTCATCAGTAATTATTTCACATTAGTAACATACTTTAAGATGATTACTTCAATTTCCATATGGAAAACTATAATCAATAAAACCACCAAGATTTAAAGTGAAACCTGAAATGATTCAACAATACAAGGTGATAATTGTGTGATGTAGAAAATATACGAAATCTCAATCATTAGATGTTGACCTCAGAAATCAAACAATAATATATTAACTTGTAAAAATGATGGTTTACTTCAGTTAAATGTTTGTGCTATAGTTACTTATTAGAAACTTTTGTGCTTTTATTGATTGACAGGGAAAATTCTCAAGTAACTTATAATTAATTTTTTTTTCTCGAAAAAAAATGCTATTCATTTTTTCGAAATACAGGTGATGATTAATCCAATATAGGTTTTTATGTATTAGCAACATAATGTACCACTATTCTAATGTTATCACTATGGTGATACATCTCATAATGTCAATTATTTCAACTAACAAAAGCTTGTTAGTTTTAGGCAGGTACATACTGTATTACTGATTTTAATGGACAATATCGATTTTGTACCAGCATTTTTTATGGCTTGTATATGTATTACGTTTATGCTAATAGTAATATATTAATTATACATTTCCAAATGTAATTCGATAATAAAAACACCTAAATTTTGTTTTTAGATAAACATCAGACGATAAAACTCATCAATAGATTTTATATTCAAATAAAATTATTGTTGTAAACAACATTTGACTTAGTCTGAACTAAGTTGACTTAAAAAATATATAAAAATCTTAGTAAACACTCGTTATGCATTTTTTGTCGAGAAGGGATTCAATTCTTCAAAATTCTTTCTACCTTGATAAATATCATTAGAGTTCACATTGATAATTATAGCTGAACAACGAAATTTTAGTTAAGTTCACTTGATAATGTTTGCTTCTGTCTTCCCAGATACTGACAAGAGACTAATCAATTGCAGTCGAATCAAGAACTTTTTAAATTATGTAACAATTATGATACATTACAACCACTCAGTTATGTTTTCTATCCTAAGTTATATAGCTTTCATCAGTGGATATCCTTCTCAGTCTGGAGTTCACTTTGTGAGATAAATTCTTGCTAGGACACCTAGAGATTTAGTTTAAAACAGATAGCTAATATGTATTAATCTGGATAGTACATTACCGATTGAGAAAGTGAACACTCATCATTAGGTGGTAGATAATTTTATTCTAGATACAAATATAATCTGTAGGTTTTTATTGAAAATGAATATTACTACTTAACATACTTACAAAATCCATAATCATGGTTAAAATTATGAAAGACCGAGTAATTTCTGATATTTTTTTACAGTCTTTTATCATGTCCATTAGACAGATCAACTTGATTAGGAATACAATACAATTAGGAAATTTTAGCAGTAGAAGTGAATAAAGTAGAATAAAAAGGAAATTTTTCTTATCTCTGGCAATAATCACAATAATAAAAGAAAATACTTGCATACAACTAAATACAAATTTTGTTTTTAATATATATGTGGTACATGAGGAAGAAGTTTATTCTCATTCGATTGATCAATACTATTTAAAAAAGATCGTTGTTTTATATAAAAATGTTTCCTGTTAAAGCTGATTCCAGTTATGGCTTTATATCGATTGAGGAATCATTGAAAATCGTATACCATGGGATATATGTTTTTATTCTAGTTTGGGACTTTTAAGTAGTGAGTAAACACGATTTAGCCAGAGATCTAAACAAAGACCTTATCAACTTAAGGAATGTTATTTAACTACAGACCAACAATTTGGAATCTTGCAGTCCATATGTGAAACTTTATATAGTTTGCATTATGGCTCGATATCATCCAATTCAATTGGTGAGTTACCCTCCCCCCCACTCTAAACATGGCTAAACACCAATTGTGACTTATCATTATAACTTTGATCCTCATTGAGGTCATGACACACTATACTGAGAAGCCATAAATTAAAATAAAACAATTCTCAAGTACTCTATGGTTTTCATTCATTCACAGAATGATATCAGTTAGTGACGAAAACTAATTTCAATTTAAATTAATCTCATAAAATGTTTCCATTTTTAGTAAAGAAATAATGAAATTATTCATAACCAAATCGGACAGTTATCACTCAGTACAAGTTTCTTTTTATATTCTTCATTTATTACACCTTTTAAACATTATTTTTTTCCGATATAAATTATGTAATATGCGAATTACATAACCACTATCCATCTTTTTGAATTACATAGTTTAAAGCCTATTATTTTCAGTACTGTTCGTCAAGTTAGTATTTTATTTTTATAAGCCATAAAATATTCAGATTAACAAAATCCGTTAATAAAGCGGAATGAGAAGATGATTTAAACAGCTTCTAAATTCATTTTATTATGGTTTAATTACTTACATATATTTCTTTAGTTTTGCATTTCAACAAAAACATCTTTCTAGCTTACAGAATGATTGTCCAGACTACTGAAACAGAAAAAAGTAGTCAGTTAACCTTTCAAGACTAATACATTTATTTTAATATATTCTATAAGTACTATTATTATTATGATTGTTATTATCAGTAAGAAAAAAGCCTGAATAGAATTTCTAAACTGAATTGAAAAATAGTAATTTGTATACTTGAAGCTTCTACTCACAATCTGTTCTAACAAAAGCTTAAATTTGATTGTAAGTTCAATAAGTTGTATGTAAAATTATCAAATCTTCTGTAAGATCAGTTTCGAATGAAAGTCAGTTTATAATCTTAAATAAAATAAGATACAGAGTGATAAAACTTTAAATATTGAATTTTATAATATCATTAAATTTTGTTTAATCTAATAAATACTGCTCATATTTTAACTAAAGAATAAATTTGCTGCTTATAGTATTACTTACTTACTTAATTACTTACGCCTGTTACTTGCAATCGAGAATAGGCCGCCAACAAGCATATTTTTTCTGGTTAGCGTTTTTTTAGAGTTAGTTTTCTACGGGATGTGGTCGCTAACCCATACCCAACCATCCTCGTTTATCCAGGCTTGGGATCGGCAGTATTCCTACAGGGGTTCCAGGCGGAGTTTATAGTATTAATTTTCTTTACTAATATAAAATGGATAAATTACATTCTGGTACATAACACACATATCATAAAAAGAACTGTTTTTTTTAATTTATTTAAAATTGAGTGTCTAAATGGAGATAGGTGAAATAAAATGAATAAACATGGAAATAAACGAAACTTTTAATAGTGAGATAAATTTATTCATTTTAATGAGGTGTAAAAAGAGATGTGAAAAGATGAATTTGTATAAGACTGTTTTGTAGTGTATATAAACTAACAATTCATATCATATTACTATATTTTTTACTCAAACAATCATGAAATGTATTCAATATGTTACCTTTCATGAAAGTATACATTTAGGTAATTTACATGTACTGCTTAAACTACAGACAAATTATTTATTATAGAACTCTTTTTAGTAAAAGTCTGGTTTAAATAATGCGAACCGTATACTTTTAAGCTAGTTCAAAATTAAAGTCTATGTAATAAAACTATGATAAACATTTCCCTGATTTTCAACAATTCATTAAATGAAGTTTGTTAATGATAAAACATTTATATAACAAGCAATTACAAAGTATTAGGTAACAAGTCATTTTAGGGACTGAAACCATGACTACCACATTATAAGTAATTTATACATAGAAGAAGAAACATCCTAGGCAATATGGATGATTTTGACAGTATCAGGGACTACTGAGTTATGATATATTCTCAGTTCTGATGGAGACTTCGTTTATATAAAATTTCAAATAACCTTACACTTTATTTGAAGGAACTAAAAAATCATATGAAAACATACTTTCATCTGGTCGTGCATACTCAATATCTTCCATATCAGCTGAGAGAATTAAGGGGATTCTGGATGACAAATTATGTATTTACGGTCATCAGACAGGAAAAACTCCAAGAACATCCGATTTCCATGAGTTAGATGAAATTCCTGAAAATCAACTTCATACTCTGTCTTATTATATTAATAAGAAACAATTGAAAGTTTCACACAAAACATCAGCCCGTCCTAAAAGTGCTGGGGATGCTCATATTGGAATAAATTCTGTAAGTATTATGTTAAATTTTTATACAAGCCCCATTACGCTCGAATGTCATCTACAACGCAGTAAAGATCTGCGTATCTATTGTTTCTAGATGCTACTTGATACAAATGGTATGATGATATGTGTAAGCATCCTTTGAATTACCTAGGTGTTGTTTTGAAGCTGACAGACTTAGGCATCTATGTCACCAATTGATCTTTGTGTAAGAACACTGAAACTACACTTGAGAGTGAGCTCATTTAGCTGGACTAAGTTGTGATGGTAGTTAATGCAATTACCAAGTATAAGCACTTATAAACTATCGTCTTCAACCCAAACGTGGGTTTTTACCATAATCTTCTTCAAGATCAGTTTATGATCAGTTTTGAAATACCACTGTCATTTCCAAGTTTTTATGATAAGAAATACATCTAATATCTTCTGTTGTTTGATAAGATCCATTTATAAGTATTATACGGGTGATAAAATAAATTTATGTCAATTAAATAGATATACAACTTTAACTAAACTAGATATTCCACATAAATAAATTACAACAATGATGTTTAGCTTCGAGACTGACTTTAGATAAACACTTTATAGGATTATATAATAAAACATGAGATAAAATATGAATCTACTAGTCGTTTACTTACCATGCACAAATAAGAACATTTAATAACCACCAGAAGACTTTAGAATATAACAGAGTAAAATATAGCACCGTTAGTCTCAACATTTTCTTGAAGAGAACCTAGACAATAGTAATTCATTCTGATATTGAGTGAAAATCACAATGGAGAGAAGATAGGTACATAATTTATTAGATTACGTAAGAAAACTTAATGAATTTTCACATTCAAACTGATTGATATCATTCAATTACTACGGTTGCGACAAACCATATATAAATTTTTATATTCTCACTACTGGATCCTTCTCGTCTGCTTTAAATACGGCTAACTATTTATAAAATAAATGTAGATCTTAGTGGAATTATCTGAAATTTCCCATTTATAACTATCATTTAAAGCAGAATGAATATTTAAAAATTAGGCACAATTCACTAAACATTACTTATTAGTTGATCAAGCAAATGTACTTTTTCATGGCTTAAATTACAAAGGTTAAACGATATTTTATTTTCAAATGAAATAAAAATGGACAAATACTCCTCTATTCACTCCATTACAATCGATCTTTTGCTACTAACAAGAGTTTTCAGCTGGTAGGCTGAATACTCATTCAACTTTTATCACCAAAGATGAATCAGTATTAATCATTTCATCTTCAAAAACTGCTATCGTCTACAGTTAGCATGGTTGCAATGACGAACAATATTTTCATCAAATTAACTATAGTGAAGAATAATTATCAGACTTCTCAAAACTTGGTTAAACTCATCAAGTTTCTGCTAACCTTTTTCTTTCAATTAATAGAACGTATATGTTTCACCAAGCAGATCAAAGCTCCCCTACTTGATAAGTCACATCATTATTACTTTTTTTTACCTAGCTTCTCTAAATACTGTAGTTAATCAGTTTGATAATAGTATAGGGACCAATACTGCACATACAATTTTTTCCAACCTTATTCACGCAGACGTTTATTACACTCTCAAGTTCAGTATTTTATTTGTGTAGTATAAGTAATGGCTGAAATATTATATTACGGGAAATTGTCTAAGTTATATAGGAACATCTGGCGGTACAATTCAAATTTATAGTATTTTGAAACTAAATCCATATATTTATTCGGAGGTCATATCCAAGCTTCTTTCAGTTACAGTTTTACAGTTACCCGCCCAATGAAGTGTGGAAGCCTCATGGCTCTTCAGGTAGAGAAATGCTCTGAAAATACAGTGCGACTAGACACTAAAGAATATGTCAATATAAGGATTATGATATCGACAGTGTGGGTAATTAACTTGACTCACACTACGTAGTGCAGAAATATTCTTATTGACATACGATACTCTTTTCCCATCAGTTTTGAAAGCTTTTATCAAAGGCACATACATTCCAGTGATATACATATTAGCATAGATTGACGCGGCTGCTAGTATGCTGTACATGTAACGATAGCGTAGGCATGCAAGTATACGATACATTCATAAGCAAAATGAACAAGCCAAGGCTCATACACTCAATGGTATAGACATAAGCACAGATGAGAACACCCAAGGTCCCCAAGCCCAGCAGCACTTTTGCTGAATGAATATCGAGTGTTCAAATCAGTATGTAAGTCGTCATAGATGATGTGCTCACTTCATGCTCCTACCGTAAGCCGGTTTAATTTCGAACACTGTGCACTGGTTACGATACAACTTATGGTTTACTCTCTGGCCCGCCCCAGCTAGACCTTATGGGCCCTTCCAGAGTAATCTGCCAAAGCACCAAATGGAAAATTTTGTCCAATACTTCAGTCACACTATCAATTCAAGTCAACCTCTCCTCTCGTATAATCAAGATTAAAGACAGGGTGGATGACTAATTTGATCTCCATCTGACCACGAAGCAGTTGGTCAACCCAGTGCCGCTTACGTTAGTTCATTGGGAAAACGATCACCCACTATCTAGAGAGCGCTAAGCGGAGATTCAAGTCGAACTTCGCCCCCTCTCTTAGACATAATTCGTCGCATATATATGAGCAAAGCAACTAAATTATTCGACCGAAATCACTTCTTCATTCCATACTATTTCAATAAGAAAAGAGAATTTCTTCTCTATCTATTCTGTAATTATAAAATACACTATCTTAACAAAAGGTTTGTGTTTTACCTGTCTTAATTGTATTCGCCAAATCAGAAAGCATAAAATTAATTTGTACATTATAAAAAATTGCCCATAAGGCATATACATATGAAGGTAAAGTTTTTGTTTCCAGAACATTCATTGCTGAGAATTAAATACAAAAAATCTTAACCAATCTCCATGTTTAATAACTACCTATCTGGCTATCAGTAAATTTATCCCTGCTGAAAGTAAAGATTTTCTGTTATAGAGTAATATTGTTAAAGTAGATAGAATTTGGTTTACTTCGAAAATGTCTCCTAAAAATGCGTAAAGTTCATACATATTCCAAGGTTCATTAATTCTCATATTCATTTTTTTGGGGGAATAATGAATTTCATTTTATCATGGTAAGCATATATAGAACATTTACATTTTACTTTCCGTATCAAACCCTATTCAAGCGTAAATTACTTGGATATTTACAACTTATGGAAAATCATTTAACGAATGTATTTTTCTTATCACATTAAAGTTTACCTGTAAAGTAATTACCTAGGTAGTTTCATAATACGAAGTATGTCTTCTAAAAACTCTTCTTTACACTTTAACTACAAAAACTCCCATACAAGCTAGCTTTTTCTCATATCATCCAAATGTATATTGGCGGACCTTCATAATATAGCAAGGAGCCCGGCAATAAATTTGAAATATTTCTCCCACTTACTTGCCAATCAGCAAAAGATTGTCGAAATCAAGGGACCGTCGTTATGAAATCAATAAATTTTGTGTTGACTGTAGTTGTATGTAATTTATGAGTTTCCCTATCTTCACAATTGTGCTTTTTTTAAAGCCACATCGCATTCTTTGAAAAGATTCATACATGTAAGAAGGAGTTAGATTGTGTTAGAGCCCATGATCAAAATATAAACACCGATACTAATTATTGCTCTTAGTTTTCATAATATTTTGTGATGATTTATCGGAAGATTGATCAAGTGATGTTTCGCGCTCATAACGTCAAAATTATAATAATGAAATTCCTATCTTATACAATAAAAGAGTGCCAATTATTTGATACATCAGTTATAAGGCAGTTGACAGTGTTTCCTGAACAAAGGTAAAGGATCGAATTCTTACTAAACCATTTTCAGGATAAAATTAACATCAAGATAAACCTAGTGGTAAAACTATCATGTCGTTTCAACATTGACGGCGTAATAACACTTAGTTTATCTATCCTGAACTATTTTAAGCAATAAATAAACCTACTTTCAATAAAACACTCCACAAGGTGGGTGATAGTTAATTTTATTGATTAAGCTTGATGCTAAGAAGTGAAGGCTGTTATAGACCCTTCCTCTAGGGTAAAAGTTTACCGACCTATGGTTATCATAAAAAAAGACAACATTTTCATCTGTTTGCTTTTAAGATTAATGAGAGATATCGGTGTTGATAAGTAACTTGCTAGTATTTTCGTTTGAATGATAAAATATAGCTTTAAAAACTTTCTTTTTACATAATCTTATTTGGAAGAATTATTTCATCTCCTTGAAAATACCTTAGATACTAATTCTTCATTAAAGTTGGTTAATTAATGTTATTATAAAAGTTTATTAAAGTTGAAAATACTCTCAAGTATTTTTTAACGTATGATTAATTGTTGTAATTATTCACGATTTTATAGATTGAAGATATTAAAGAATTATTAAATATTCAGTCCATTGATACCCGCCAAAACCTTTCCTTTTAAGTGAAAGGCAACCTAATCGAATTAGATCAGCGCGTGAATATCGACGAAAACATATGGAACGAAATTTTTGTTCATGTTTAAATTCAACAGATGATCTCAGTCTTCAAAACAATGATACTTCTGTTTCAGATGGAACAGCTACAAACAGTGTGCACAGTGCAAGACAACGAGCAGATATTCACTTACCAAGCGTTAAACATTTAATAGAAACATATGAAGAAGTTGAAAAGTGAAATTCGGACTTCAACTAAACCCTAAGCAATAGTTTACATCTCGTTTAAAGAAAATAACCCCAGCAATTTTTTGTCTACTGCATAATTTTACAACACTATTACATCACTGAACCACGATGTTATGAAACTTTCATGATTCTAATTAGATCTACGTTTGTTTACTTAAAAATATAAATTTTCACACCATAGACATTGTAACAAGTGTTATGAAACAATTTTTCACCTTAACTGTCGTTTAATTTACATGAATAATAACTTTTGAATGACTTTGCAAAAATAAATGTTAAATGTCAAGTGAAACTATCGCATATACAAATAAACGTAGCGAAACCACGAACGGAAAAGAGTTTGTTCATTTTGTTACTTTTGTTTGAATCTTCCCATTGATGTTTAGGACTGATTAGCCTCCCGTTGTACAAGTTAGTGGTCATCAGGACTCAGTAGCTAAGTGGATAACATGATGACGTTTGAGGTGAACGATACTGGGTTCGAGTCCCGGAGTGAACATCAACTCTGGCATGCAGTTACATCCAGCTGAAGAGTCCCAGATAGGACGGAACGCGTGTCCTGGATTCCACTGCTAACCATCATCCGTCTTTGGAAAAGAGTTTGATTAATAAAAATGTTATACGTTCGCGAATGACTCAGAAATTTCTTAATTAATTTATCATAAAATTTTTCCATAGGATAGACCTGCTTGAGCATTAAATGAAAGGCTTGGGTTATATGAGTGAGATACACAATATAAAGTTAATAAATTGAATGAGAATTTCGAACATCATAATGGTTAACACGAAATGAGCTAAATTTTCTCTAACGGATTGCACCCATATTACCTTTCTAGAATATTTGCTTTCTCTAAAGATAACAACCTGTATTAGTTATTAGTGATCAACTCTACTATTATTTGGCAAGAAGACAATTTACGAGTGAAATATAATTTCAATGCATGGAATTCTTTTATTGAGACATTGTAGCCCATTCAAGACCATTCCACTATATGAATTTCTAATTTAAACACAGAACTCATTTCACTACTGAAGATAAGTTAACAGATGTATATTAGGTAGAGAATATACATGCATTTCATACTTCCCTAATTATTCACTCCAATCCGTTAACTACATTTATATTAACAGTAAAAGCCAACGAACAATGTTATTTTTTTAAAAATTATTACCAACTATTAGTTCTGCCGCTTGGTATAAATGAACAAATGGTTCGTTTTGAAGCTCATTATTTAAAAAAAAAACACTAGAGTATAAATGCTCTTTGAAACTAAATCAAACTAATATATTGTCG